GACTTGTAACTAACGTAAGGACAGTTGGGTTCTGATACTGAACAACGTACCTTCTGGTCTCTAGACTTGTAACTAACGTAAGGACAGTTGGGTTCTGATACTGAACAACGTACCTTCTGGTCTCTAGACTTGTAACTAACGTAAGGACAGTTGGGTTCTGATACTGAACAACGTACCTTCTGGTCTCTAGACTTGTAACTAACGTAAGGACAGATGAGTTGTGACACTGAACGACGAACATTCTGGTCTCTAGACTTGTAACTAACGTAAGGACAGTTTGGTTCTGATACTGAACAATGTACCTTCTGGTCTCTAGACTTGTAACTGATGTAAGAACAGTTGAGTTCTGATACTGAATGATGTACCTTCTGGTCTCTAGACTTGTAACTAAGTAAGGACAGTTGGGTTCTGATACTGAACAACGTACCTTCTGGTCTCTAGACTTGTAACTAACGTAAGGACAGTTGGGATTCTGATACTGAACAACGTACCTTCTGGTCTCTAGACTTGTAACTAACGTAAGGACAGTTGGGTTCTGATACTGAACAACGTACCTTCTGGTCTCTAGACTTGTAACTAATGTAAGGACAATTGAGTTTAGGTGATAGATAGAATTTCCCAGGACAAGCCCACTCCAGTGCAAAGTACTGGAAGGTGTTTTGGTCCATTTCATTATTTTATATGACTCTATTTTGTGGGACAGGTATTTTAAGACTGGTACATTTTTCTTATTAATCTCACCTCTGAAACAATTTGATTTGTATTTATGTCAAAGACATTACAGATATCTGTTGCCAGATATCATCTGACCAAACAGAAGGAAGTCTATCAACAGCACCCTATCACCCACAATTTATGCTATGGAATTGACTGTCACTTTTATAATGCACCCATGCCTTGAAGTGGGGAGAATATTTTATTTTATTTCATTGCAGGCTTGCAAGCTACAAAATCTAGAGCTCTCTAACAGGGCTGATCCACACCCCAGATTCACTTAAACTTTACACCTTAATAATTTATTTCTCAAAGAATGCTATAATTCATCATTACACCATATTATCAGTTGTTTTTTTTTGCACCATAAGTTTCAACATTATATAATTTCGTTTTTACCAAGTTACATTTAAATAAAGAAATATAAATAAACAAATCTCTCTCTCTCTCTTTTTTTTAATTCCAATGCTTCAAATAACTTACCAAGTCCCCTGAAGCGTAACTAAGAGACGCTCTTGCACAAGTTGCCTTCATGTGCAGGGAGACATCCAGGTTTAGTTGTTGTTCTTGGCTGTTGCAATCATCACGATCCTTTTGTGTAAACCTGTTGGAGTTTTCCTTACTCACGACCGTTCTAATCCGGTTTCTTGGAGACTGAGGGCACGCAATGGTTGCTGTCCCTGTACGTGGAATACTAGGGTTGAGACTACTATAATAAGCCTGTTGCGAACTTAAAGAATATTTCGATCCTGGATGAGGAGTTACGACGTACATTAGTTCATCATCCGATGAAAATGAATGTAGCGAGGTTTGACTAACATTCGAATCACTATCCCCAAACATTCCTTTGTGACTTTTAGGTTCTCCTATTGGAGAGGAGACGTGGTTAATCCAGTCCCGTTGCAGCGATCCATTGGTTTTAATCCTGCTTTGATAAGGTGAAGAATGAGTTGGAAGATTATAGCTTGGAGAATAATTATACTCTTTCTCTAAAAAAGGTGGACCTAATCCATTGAAAGTTATTTCTTCTAAATTCTCCACCTTGTGTTCACCTACAGAAGTTGCTAATGTAAAAGACTCTGAATGACTAGCATCGTCAGTACAGGTAGGAGAACACACTTCCTGGTCAATACAGGTAGAAGAACACACTTCCTGATCAGTACAGGTAGAAGAACACACTTCCTGATCAGTACAGGAAGAAGAACACACTTCCTGATCAGTACAGGAAGAAGAACACACTTCCTGATCAGTACAGGAAGAAGAACACACTTCCTGATCAGTACAGGAAGAAGAACAAACTTCCTGATCAGTACAGGAAGAAGAACACACTTCCTGATTAGTACAGGAAGAAGAACACACTTCCTGATCAGTACAGGAAGAAGAACACACTTCCTGATCAGTACAGGAAGAAGAACACACTTTCTGATCAGTACAGGAAGAAGAACACACTTTCTGATCAGTACAGGAAGAAGAACACACTTTCTGATTAGTACAGGTAGAAGAACACACTTCCTGATCTTCTTTTTCTTCTAATTCTTTCAAATCGTTTTCTTTTCCAGAAGAGCTTTCATATTCTGCACACGTATTTATGATTTCTCTAAGTTTTAACCCATCCTCATGATTTTTTCCCTTTTCCATTTTAAGTCCTTCCATTTCCTACGAGACACAAGTAATAATTAGCACTTTAACCCTAACACAATTGTCTTAGTACTAATTTTACTTGACCAAAACACTTCTGTATGGATATTCCTTATCATGAAATTTGACAAATTTTACAGTTGAACACCTAAACTTACCACAAGTTAATAATAAACTTATACTTGTCAGACTAATTGTAATGTAAATTATTATAATATTACTAAAATTATTTTAAAATGAATAATTTCTTTATGATTGTAACCCACATACTAATAACTATAGCTTCCAAAAAAACAAAATTAAAAACACAGTTCACTGTGAAAAAAAAAGAAAAAAGGCTACTACTTTGAAAATTGAAATTTTATGACCTCCTACTCTCAGATGACATTGTTTTATTTTACTTCCTCGGGTTTTAGGTCCTCAACACCATCACAACAATTGTAGCAACTATCACTGGTAATTAACATTGTTAAAAACAAATGTTAATGATTGATTCCATAAAAAAAACGAAGATTTATAATTGTAATGAGTATTTGACCAGAAGGTAAGCTCTAACTGTGAAGAAACGATGATTGTTTGTTGTTATAAAAAGCATTACTACAACAAATGAAATTCTGTGATACAGACCTGTAGCAGCGTACAAACTCCTTCTTGTACCAACAAACTTCGTTCATCTTGTGAAGCACTTTGGGTATCATTTATTGACTCAAACTCAGAGACGTCTGGACTCTCCCGAAGATCATTGTCCAAGCTTTTGACTTCTGATGAGCAATCTGTACATATGACAACATGATCACATGATGACTGACAATTATTAAACTTCTGCATAGCTAACACAAACTCCTGAGTTGTTGTATGTTCCATCACCATTAAGTATTTATTATGAAATAAATTAAACCCCAAAATGGTATACACAGTGTGTTGATTTCTAAATGCACACGGCACTAAGACATTAACATAATAAGGATTTTGTAGTTTTGTGTGAACTGTTTATTTAAACATCATACATAACATAAAACAGAGATCACGGAAACAGTGGAAATGTTATATACATGCTTAGTGGTTAGAACAGTGTATTGTTATTCTACATTATACATAAAATGACAAAAACGTTAGCTTGGTTCTTCACAACAGGTACATATAAAAACCACTTAAAGATGAGAAGATACATATTTTACATATTTTATAAAATATCCAAACAATATATTCTTCTTGTCTTTTACTTAGAAGGGAAAAAAATTGGAATTGTAAAGTATGAAAGTAATGTGTAACTTCAGTTACGTACAATACACTTTCAAAACATACCTGAAGAAAAGGCATTTGGTACAACTAAAACTGCCACGTTCGGGTTTACTGTCACTTCGCGAGACTCTACAGGATGGTTGAAACAGAAGAAATGTGATCTTCCTACACAAATCATACTTCCTAAAATACAATATAAAAAAAGTATTAACACACGTGTTTTCTATATGTTCAATGAGAAGCGAGAAAAAAAATGTTTAAAAATCTGAAATGTACGACACTGATTTCTTCACAACAGCTCTCTTAGTATTGATAAGTTAAAATGTGTATTTATCTTTAAATAAAAAATATCACAATTTCTTGAAAATTTCATTAAAACTTGAAAAACAATTTGTTTACAAGACAAGAGTAAAAATAATAGGATTAGAGCACAAAAAAACATTTTTGACAATTACATGTAATTATTAAGAAATTAAAACTAAGCCTAACTTCAAAGGCCATCATTTTCTGCAATAAAATTATTCCTGGCATACAACATAAGCAGATGAATTCTAAATACTACAAACGGCTAACAGTATATTTGAAGTCCTACTTTTTCACGATACCACATTAAGTTCTGATGAACACTAAATTCAGTAACATCTGAATCTCACTCCTCGGCTCGTTATTGGTAATACTTTGATCGCATTCCTCAGCTGCTTACTTAATATATCATATTAACAAGAACCTGGGTTCATATTCCAGCCTGAATCAGTTTTCACTTTAATATAAACACAATTTATATAGGTTAGTATGCCACATTAGAGATCTCACATTAAGTCAATGAAATATGTATGACAAAAAAGGTTTCCACTAAAGGTTACAGCTTAAGTACACCTGGGTTGTTGAGAAATCAACTCAGCCTAAGCTAGTAACATCTGAAAAAAATTAACACAAAAATGATATATTAAAGAAAACCCACTCTTCTGAATTACTGTCTTTGATAAGTACTAGGAAACTGACATCGATTCAACTCGCATGAAACAAAATACACCCAGAAAAGAAACCACAAAAGTACTGAACAGAAATAATGCTCCAACATGAGCTAACATATTTGTTACTTTTTAAAGAATCTTTTTTTTTTTAATGTAGTGTCCACATTACATTATATTTGAAAGAAAATAAAAAACATTTACAACATAAGTTTTATTCTTTATGATCTCAAGTTTTCCATTTTAAAAATCAAGTTAATTTATTTAGTGTAGAAAACTTAGTTGGTATGAAAATACAATTAATTTATTAAAATATATCATTAAGCAGTGAGATCAAAATTTTTGTGCCATCACCAATGAATAGCAATAATTCCAAAACTTCTCAAAAGATGGCACTAACATCAAGAGTGGACCTGTTTACACTTAGCTAGTGGCATATATTTAGCAGGCAGCTGGAACCTCTAATTTGGACTTTAACACGTCATGTGCCTTTTGGTTGAACACAGATAAAAATTCTATTTTGACACACCATCTACATTAATTAGAACTGGAATATGCAATGAACTGAGTTTAATAGAGTTTCATGTGTGTCAGTAGGGTGGGTCAGTAGGGCAAGTGAACCTTCTTCAGATAACAGTAATGGAATTATGCATGATTTTCTCTTTTAGAATTCAAAAACTTATTTCCAATTAGTATACTACTTCCAACATACTTTATAGTTTTGAAATTTCAACAATTTAAATTCTTTATATACAGATGAGCTTAATTTTGATGCTTTAATTATAAAAGTACTCCAGAAAATAACCGTCTAATTTTCAAAATTAAAATACAACTCATTTTATAAGGTACATAATGATTGCTAACTAACAATATAAAATTACAAAAACGATCTCTATGGAAAATATTTGTTTATAATTATACTAAAATGGAGAGTGTTTGTTCGTCCTTAAAAATAAATTATATTGTTTTGGATTAAGAAAATAATCTCTTAAATTTTATTAGGATGTAAATTTACAATTAAAAAGTTAATTTCTGCTGCTTCTCATTTGCTAAATGAACAAAATAAAAATATTCCCATATTCGTAGCAATATTTATTCATACATGTTTTTACACATCACACGCAGCATGGCTGGGCTCATGAATAACCTTTCTTTGTTTGAAATATCAAGTATCAATTGTGCATCTAAACAGTAAATAGTATGTATTGGATGAATTTCAGGATACTTACAAAGTAATTAAGTATCTGGTATCAAAAAGAAAAGTTATATCCAGTTTAATATTTATAATATCTTTATTGTATGAAAACAAGAATTTCAAAGCCAATTTACATCAATTACAGATATTACCAATTTTTTTATAGTTACTCTACGTCAATGATTTAAACTTTTTTTTCACAGTGGTGTTGAATAGTGAATCGGATCTTAGTTAATACGTGATTAGTGGAATTTATCAATTAATCATTAGGTAATTACATTCAACTAATCAATTAAGCTAAACAACCTTGAATTAATCAAACTTAATATTTAGAAATTATAATGACAATATTTAAATTATTTGGATAGTTGGAATACAGTAATAATTGGAAACACAAATTCCAGTTAGCTGATTATTTTCAGGACATTAGTTGACTTAATCATAATTTAGATTAATTGATTATATTTCCTGGCATTAATTAATGTAATTGATTAACTGAGTTAATCTCCCAGTTTGACTTACTAAATACTAAATTTGTGGTACAATTATCCACATTTTAATTCAATTTTCATTAACAGTACATGTTGAAATCCATGAGATTTAATACATAATGTTTTTACCTTAGTTTTACCACCTCAAGAAGTGAAGAGCTGTTTGGTTTCAGTAACTCTGTCCCAAGTTCCACTTTTCAGACCCATGTGGGAGAGGCATTACACAAACTCACCTATAGACATCTTCGCTTCAGAAAGGTCACTTCATCTTCAACTATAGGTAAAATAAAACTTATATAACAAGAGGTCCAAGTACAAACAAGACAAAACAGGAGATGTTCAATGTGCTTAGAACTAGTTACAAATCAAATCACCTAAAGAAAGAACTACATTCAATCTAATTATATGTATCCACACAGCTCACTTCTTTAACTGTACCTATATCTAAGTTAAATTGAAGGTGTTTGGTGTCAGTAATAAGCAGTAACATGCAGAAGACATTAGTTGGCTGGAGCTAATTGACGAAAAAATGGCACTTTTCAAGCATGGCAAGGCAATACTTGGGGGAGGGGAGTAGGTGTTAGGGGAGACTATGGGGACTGCAAGTTGCCTCTGGGACACACAGAATAAAAAGCCATAAGAAACAAACAGATCCTCTTTTATTCCTATTCAATCGATCTTATAAACACTTAAAATCTAAAACAACAGTGAATTATTGTGTATTAACACTTGATATCACAGTTAAGTTGTCTGCTGTAATGACCTTCAAGTCCCTGTGTGCCATTTATTTTAAAGCTCCAATGTTGTTTTCCCTATTAAGTTGCAGCAAGCAAGGTGTGGAATCAAGCATATGTTTCAGTAGTTGTGGATCTTTTTTTTTTTATGACTGAGAAGAAAGGAACTTTAGGGGCATAAAAAGAGGAAGGAACGTCACTCTCAATTAGGTTATAAAGATAATGTTCATTTAGCCTTCTTCTAAGTAATATATGTTTGCACTTATACCATGAATCTAATAAGATCATAGATCATTTGCAGTTGTTAGTATTAACTGCTGTTAAAGTTAGCAGTTTAAGAAGGTTTGAGTATCAACAAAAGGACAGTTTGTGTATTTATCATAACTGTGTTAAGAACTTTACTATGTGCCAAGAGGCATTATATTAGTCTATATGAAATCTAATGTAACCAACAAATAGATAAAGTTGAATAATTCTAATGACTTATAACATCAGAAGTTAATTGGGACTTTTTAATAAATAAAACATTAGAGAATTTACCAAATGCCACTGAATCAAACTAGTTTTGAAGTATTCTACCCCTTAATCATCAGCACTGGACAATGACAGAGTAAGGAATAAAACCAGGCTATTGGTAGCAGTTGATAGTATTCTGTTTATACAGTGTTTTAATTGTCCTTACTTGCTAAATCTCAGTCTCCCTATGGTGCATTTAACTCCAAAGTAAACACAGAACTACACTTTGGACATTATATCAAAGTTGTTAAACATAACATACTTCAAACATTGAAACCATCCAAACACACCGTTGTAACCTAAACCAGAATAAGAGAACCGCACTCACTCGAGGGCCTTTTATCTACAATAGTATCAAATTAAAGCCAACAGATAACAATAACACTGTTGTTCTTTTTTTTTTACAAAAGAAACTATATCACTGAAGCTAACTACAAAATTAATTATTTCTACAAGTTGTCCACTCATGACCACACAACTGTGCACTAAAACTATCAGTGACAACTTAAACAACTCAACACCATAATAATTAATGTCAACTTAACTCATTGCCATCACTGACAACTCAGAGAACTCATCTTCATCAATGTCAGCTTAACTCATTGCCATCACTGACAACTCAGAGAACTCATCTTCATCAATGTCAGCTTAACTCATTGCCATCACTGACAACTCAGAGAACTCATCTTCATCAATGTCAGCTTAAACAACTCATCCACATCATTAACAACTTAAACAACTCATCACCATCATTAACAACTTAAACAACTCATCACCATCATTAACAACTTAAACAACCATTACCATCATTAACAACTGAAACAACTCATCACCATCATTAACAACTTAAACAACCATTACCATCATTAACAACTTAAACAACCATTACCATCATTAACAACTTAAACAACTCATCACCATCATTAACAACTTAAACAACTCATCACCATCATTAACAACTTAAACAACTCATCACCATCATTAACAACTTAAACAACTCATCACCATCATTAACAACTTAAACAACTTACTGTACATGATACAAATCCAGCAAACAAGAACATTTTAAACAACATGGACACGAGTAAAGATTTTCCCTAGTGGATTTAACTATAACAATGGTTATTTTAAAATACTGGTGCATTGGTAACCCTTCCCTTCAGCCCTTATGTCCAGAAGTGCACGTTCTCTGCACGTTACTATTTCATAAAAACTAATAAATGTAAAATTTACACAGCACATGAAACTTCAACTGTAGATTAGGACTGCCTGATTCTGCTATTGTATATTTACACAGCAATAGCATGGTATAAATCAGTATCAGTGCTCTTAACAAGCACCAGTCACCCATATTATAACAACATAAGTAGAGGCTGGTAATTTAACATTTATTAGCTACTTACCAGTTATAACAACATAATTATTAGTTTTTTAACAGTATACACATATTTAATGACCCACTGCAAAATAAAAAAAAGGGCACATCTACTTCTTATAACAACTAGGTACACATAGTTGTACAGTACATGTACGAATAACTAGAAACTTTAGTTTGAATAAGTGCTATACAAACTTAGGGTCACAATTATATAAATACATCTTTCAAGATATTTTTGTACTGAAAACATTGAAAACTTTTAAATATAAAATTGAGTATGCTAAAAGATTACTAAGTATAACATCCTTACTAATATATACTTAAAACAATTGAACCATGTTTTCCATACATTAGCAACTAGTTTCCACTTCAAGTCAGATTTGATGATGAGGAACCACCTTTTAGATAGTTAAGTTTAGAGTCAGCTTGAATGGGTGGTGGAAGAAACTTTATTACAAATGTACAACATTTCGACAAGCTTATGTCATCATCAGTTTCAAACTGTCCCCAGACTTTTCACTTTTACCAGGTATAACAACGTAAGTAGCTAATAAATGTTAAATTACCAAGTATAACAACGTAAGTAGCTAATAAATGTTAAATTACCAAGTATAACAACATAAGTAGCTAATAAATGTTAAATTTCCAGTTATAACAACGTAAGTAGCTAATAAATGTTAAATTACCAGTTATGACAACATAAGTAGCTAATAAATGTTAAACTACCAGGTATAACAACATAAGTAGCTAATAAATGTTAAATTACCAGTTATAACAACATAAGTAGCTAATAAATGTTAAACGCAAGCCGTATGAAGCCACATATACTTAAAGAATACTGCGAATGTGTATAACAAATGGTTTTCTGAAAAGTATTGTAATGTTTAAATCGTGAAGTTTGAGATTCTGTATATTAATAAAATAGCATAATTGTGTGTAATAATGGACAATTCAATTAGATGTTGAATAACAGTAAGTTAATAAAATTATATAGAAATATGAGT